GTGGTTTGAAATATCTGCAAGGCATTAATTTTAGTTTGCTATCAGATTACAAATACCTGAAATGTGATTTGTGTTGTTGAGCTGTATAATCAAGATTCATGATGTCTTACCACATAGGGACAGTATTAAAAAAAAAAAAAAAAAAAAAGTAATTTTGACTAACAGATAAAGTTGAGATTTTCACCATCTACTCACCCATGATTTTGAACAGAAGAACTTTGATACAATGTTATTTTATAATTATTTGCTTAGCATTTTTTCATTGTTTGTTATATAATATGTGTAAGTGATTAAAAGACCACTAGATCTTTTGGGCCCTGGAGATTTGTGAGTGTAAATACTATAAGTAATATGCTTCCCTCGCTACATGGCATAATACAAACAAAAGCCAGGTGCTAACTACTCTTCAGTGAACAATTACACTATTCATACAGTGTTTTGGGAGGATGTGTATGCATGTTTACACACACAATGGCAGATTTCAGATGTTCAAAAATAAAAACTTGAAAACTTTCAAGACTGGACTTACAGCTGGCTTTAGTAATGGCAAATATAGGAACTGCATAATGTCTTTTTTCCTTTTTTTTTCAATCTATTTAAATAAAATATTCTATGTTGATATCATCCTGGATTTAGAAGAATTATATGACTAGCTGTTTCAGAGTTAGCAGGGTTTATTTCCAATTTAAAAAGTAATTACAATTAATTTTAGAAAATTGTATTGATTCATAACAGTAAAAATAAGTATTTTATCATGTGACGATAGTACTGCTGTTTCATAATTAGCTTTAAAATATTGTACTGCATACAAGCCACTAGCAGTAAATATGTTTGGCATATCTGGATACAATTAAGAGATAAAACGGAATAATCTCATTATAGAGATTCTTTGCTCTAATAGAATGTTAAAGAAATAAACAAACATCTCATTAGTTGTATTTCCTCTTGCTGCATGTCCGTAAGATGGTGTTTCTAATTGTACAGCCTGTGGATGTGTTGTATTTCCTAAACTTAAAACCTGACAATTACATCTGACCATTATTTTGTGGAAGTGGAACATGACAGCATGGACTGTTCCTTGCTCGCTTGAAGTGCACAGTAAATAGAGACATCAATTGAAGCTAAAGCTAAATCAGAAGTAAAACTCTGATTTGAAACTACATAAAATCAGTGGGAATATTCTTACTGGCTACAGCAGGTTTGGATGAGACGTAAATAGTAGCTGTAGAGTGCTACCAATCTCATCAGCGAATGTTGTAGCTTGCAGTCACATGGTAGAACAAAAGCAATAAGAAAGGAATAGAAACCCTCTCAAAATATAGGCTTTTCGGCAGAGCAGTCATGTATTTAACAACATGTTCATGGAAAAGAGAAAAGAGAGAAAATGATTTAAATATCAACCTCTAAAATACTTAATTTAGAATCTAGTAAAAACATACTGCCTCTGTCATTTATTTGAAACCTATATGAAAATGAGATTTACAGTTTATGTGTTCAGCGTCCTGCTTTGAGCATTTCAAATGATTTGGAATGGTTTTAAATATTTTCTGAAAACATACTGAACACTTACTCCTTTCCACCTTCCAAAAAAAAAATTTACCTTTTCTTTGACACTTGCTAGGAGTTTTACCAGTATCCAGGCTGCCGTCTGCAAAACATTTTAGTTCAGAACTGTTAAAAGACCCCCCTGGACAGGGTACATTTCCATCTCCCCAATTATTTTTTTCCAAATAGCTGATAGAGAGTCTGCCTTGTAGGCTTTATATTTCACTGTCTAGCAGGTAGCTAAAGAGAGAAGTGGTTCTGTGCTTGTACATTTCAGCCAGGCTCTTTGCAAGTATCTCCCCCCTCCTTTTTGGTGGGGTGAGGTGTTTGCTGTCTCTGTATTTCAGCTCATCTTGCGATGGATATTAAAATCCTGTCCTTTTGGTTTATCACCTAGCCTTCAAGAATTGTTTCTGCGTATCAGTCTGCATTTTATGTCTTCAGTTCAGATATGTACCTATTACTTCCTGCTTTTTGTTTGCTTTTGTTACAAATAAGTCTTTCCTAAACAAATTCATTGTTATAAAAAAGGACCACCACTTACTCTTGCAATACTAATGTGCTTAATTATCTATTCTGTATCACATGTGTTTATCCAAATGATCTTATACAAAGACAAATTCTCAATAAACCAGCTGTCTCGGGACAGTTTGTATGGTAGAAGGTATTTTAGCATGTCATATTCTTTCAGGCCTTACCAATTACCACAACTATCCCTTCTTGGGGAAAGCTGTCGAAACAGCAATGTTTCTCAAGCAGATCCATGTGGTTTTTGTTGGCAAGTACCAACCTTTTAATGACAACATCTGTTAATCATCTTTGAACAAAGCTTTGCTAGGAGAGACTTAAGAAGAGGAAAGCAAGCCATAGAAATCTCGAACACGGATGGGGAAGTTGCTCTGCAATTTGGACTGCTTCAGTACTGCAGGTTTCTAGGCAGAAGTGCAAAGCAGTATCTCAGTCTGAATTAGCAGTGTGTGATCATGTAAGTGCAGTCCTGTGTGAACTTCATCACAAAAGGAGTCACAGAATGATGTAAGGCTTATTCTTAAATCCTTACTGGACTGTGACGGGTGCTTGGTGGTGTGAAGAGCAAGGATGGCTCAGCGCCCTGAAGGAGCAAGCCGTTGAAGTGTTTACTAGGAGAGGGATTAGCATCCTGCAGTTTATGAAAAGGTGGAACAGAGACACATTCACATTGTATCCTGCCTCTCCTCTGTTTAGAGGAAAGGAAAAGAAATGCTTTGGTCTGTTCAGTGAAAAGTGGGAAGGAAGCTAGTGCAGGGGATTTCCCATTCCCAGCTGTGCTGCACAGCTGTGCGTTGTCCTGAGACCTGATCCAGGCAGTGACTACCAACAATAGACCTCTGTTCAAGGAAATTGTCTGGTGATTTTCCATGAAACAAAGTTTAGAAGAAACGGTTAGACCACAGGCAGGGATGTGGTTTAGCACAAGCCCAAAGTCACCTTAATAGAGCTCTGTTAAAAAGAGCCCTGTGAAAGTTGCAGAGTGTTATGTCAAAGAAAGCTTGTGTTGAAACTGCTTCTTGGCATGGCTGTATATGCATACCTGTCTGCAGATAGGGAGGACACAGGTATCACGAGGCTTGCTCAGCTAGCTTGTACTTTACATGATGCTGTTTGTTTCACGTATCTGGTAAGACAGAAATTAATCCAATCTTCGTTCTAGAGAAGCCTGAAATAATGTTGTGAAAAGTCACAGGAGATTTAGCGAGTGTGGGACTACAGCTGTCCACATGCTGGCAAGGCAAACAAACAGCACAGGTTAAGGAGGACATCTGTTTTCGTTTGTCCTTGGGTCCATTCTCCATTGAACAGAATAAGAAAAGCCAGAAGTCTGATATGCACAAATTGCAGTCTTAGCATCAAATTCACCCTTGCTCCTCCATGGGTATCATCTATCTCTGGGAAAAAAAAATCTCAGCTCTCAGAAAGGCATATGTTAAATACACCCCTTGTGAAATGCCTTGAAGTTTCAGATCTTTGGGAAACAGAGGCAGGGATTTACCTTTCTCCTGGCTGGCTGTGTGCTCCACACAGAGATGAGCTTTTTGTGTGTCCCCATCCTAAAAGCAATGAGCTTCCAGGAAATAACAAGAAGTGCCTGACCAGCACTGACCCTTAGGCACAGCAGATTTTCAACAGTCCTTTCAAAACATATCTGTCAGTGCAGGCATGCAATAAGCAAACACATCGTATGACACCCCAGGCAGACTTTGAAAATGGCTATGTGTCAAATGCTCTTTATTACTGAGAATTTTTGCCAAATGCTTATGTAATCCCAATAAAAATTTTATTCTGTGTTTCTAATTCCTTCATGAAGGTCCCTCCCTTTCGTAAGTATTCTCCAATTTTAAACATCTCTCAGTAGAACATCCTGCTGCTTCTCCCATTTCAGTGCTCAAGTGGCATCCTAGAACAAATTTACTTTGTTAGCACATTTAGATTATGTGGTACCAACCCCTGGCTTTATTCGTGGCTATTTAGACAATTCATAGCTTTAGTGTATCTTACTGCTCTAGGTAGAGTACCAAAAGAGATTATCCTAATTGTAGATCTTTTCTTCAGGTCATAAGAGTAGGGTTGTTTTTTGTCCTTTTTTAAGTGTAGACAAAACTTCTTTTTTCTTGATGTTTTCTGTCTGATATGTATCTGCTCTCAACAGCTATGGAAAGTCTCTGTATTCTTCTCTTTGCTCAGGAATGTGTTCATTATGAGTTTGTTTTTTCTTTTTGACTGTCAAGATTATTTTACCCTTTATTACGTTCTCGTTATCCCTATTTCTTTGTCTTTTCTGGGCATAAATATTACTGTATGAGCTGTCATTTTAATCATGCATTATTTCCATTCACCATGTTACAGGATGCACTTACACTTGTATTTATCCAAATATGTAATTGTACAGCTGCTGATTTTGTAATTATTAGTACAAAACATCAATATTCTGAGATCATAATATCTGCTGGCAGTCAGCCATGCTCATCAAGTTCTCATCACCATGCATCTTCACTCCCTTCACAGACGATCCTAGCTTGCAGAAATATGGCATTTTCAGCGTCTTCCATCCTCCTGCCTAGAGAAATCTTCCTGTCGTGCCTCATCCCCATCTCACAGCCTTGCATGGCCGTTTTTCTACATCCTTTGTTGTGCGAGACATTTTATCTCCAGCTTTGCTTTTAGAGATCCTAGAAATTCCTATATATATTGCTCTCAGCGTAAATGCCTCATTCCATCCACAAAACAGTATAATAACAATTTAAGCTATCATTTAAGATGGATTTTTAAGAAAACTCAGCAGTTTCAGTACTGTATTTTTGTCATTAGAGATGGTAGATAGAGATGGGCCTTTGCCTACAGCAGCGTGAGCCGTGTCAGTGGGTGTTTGGCACATGTGGGGAGAAGCAGGGCATCGATCCACAGCCGCAAAGTTTCCACTTTGAGGTGTGTTGCAGAGATGGAGTTTGGGAAGAGGCATGGAAACAAAGAAAAACAGAGAAACACCTGGATAGTCAGGGTGAGAAGTACAGATTTTGGTTAATGCTGAGTGAACTGGATAGGATATGATATTGAGACGAGTCACTTTGAACACGTGGTGCTATCGCAGTACTATCTCATGGGCACACTTTGCTAAGCATTGCTTTGGGTGGCAGTGACTTCCCAGGCAGCTCCGTCCTGTGCAGATGGGCTCTGCAGGCAGCAGAGAGGGGTCCTGAGAAGGGAATAGGAAGAGAGAGCATTTGGAGGGGAGAAAGAAAAAAGGTTTTCCCACTTCTCTGTCCCAGATCTTTGTTAAATCTTTTATAATCTACTGACTCAGATAAAGTATTGTGTGTCATTTTAGTCTCCTTCATTACACAGTATAATTTAAACTGAAATGCATATGAGAAGAAAAGTATAATCATTCTTAATCCTTCCTCACATTTACATGACAGTTTGAGGTGTAAATGAAAGGGATTTTGGTTCTTTCAAGTTTTTCCTCCTAGAACTGGGGTGAGAGACCTCCCCAGTGCCACTGGTTCGCCTGCTCAGATCCGTGCAAGACAGGAGTTTTTGCCAGAGTGTATAGATCTTGTGCATGACCAGATAACCATGTCCCCTGTAGGAATTTTTCCTACTGCTAATCAGAATGCCAGCTAGAGGAGTGACAGACTGAGTGCCAGCTCTGTGACTCCAGGAAAACTTTGGTGCCACCTTTGCTGCCTTCAAAGAGATAAAAAGGTAATTTGGGAAATGTAGTTTTACCATTTCACTAGTGAAATGTAAGTCACAGCACATTTTTGATCACTTTAGTACCTTAAAAGGGTTTTATTAAAAGTCATTTTAGTTACTTAGGGCATAAAGCCTTCCAATGTGTGCTGTTCTGTGAGGGGAAATTAAACATCGGAGAGCTCGAGATAAAGACATGTGGAGCTTACTTGTTCGCAGTAGTTATGTGTAAGCAGTCATCAGAGATTGCATTGTAGATCACTGAAGGGTAACATGCTTTTACTAACTTTCCATTAAAAATATTACCAGTAATATGTGTCCGATGAAAGCACTTATTACAGCACATTTTTGCTAACCTTGTCAGCAGTATTTTATCTAGTTACTTTCCACAGTAGCAAGTCTATGCATACGTACTTTTCTGAGATGAGTTTTGAAAACAGCCCTGAATTGAAAACTAACTGATCTGATTTACTTCTGAATTCCCACTCACATGTTTTAATAAAATGAACTTCTTAAAACAAAAATATCACCAATGGGAACAGCCTAGTCAGATTGCATAGAGCATGGACGAAAAGAGGCAGTTCAGTATGTGATGACTAGAAGTATAAGAAAGACAGGCTTCCAAGAAAAATAGCCTTACTAATCATATGGAGCAGAACATACTTCTTGCTGCAGGCCAAGAGCAGTCTGCAGGTAGAGACTTTGACCCCATGCTGGTAGTGTCTGTTTCTGTAGCAGTCATTTGCAAGCCCCAGAATGGCACCCAGAGCTTAGAGGCCAAGCTAAATGGAGAATGAAAACTACCCTCCTCAGGTGAGCCTCATGAGCTGTGTGATTTAGATCCTTCTGACAAGAAATTCACTTAAGAGCTGTAATATCTCAGTCACGCCAAGTGGTGATGGGATAAATGTGAAGGCTAAGGCAATTTGCCCCCCAAACGCCATAAAGCCAAAATTAATTAAGAGGAGTTAACAATGAAAGGTCCTTCAAATTACTTCAAAATAGATAACTCGTATAACTTAATGGAAGTGCCGTTTAAAATGCTAATGCCATTATGCTGTAAGTTTAAAAAAAAAAAAAAAACAATCCTGCAAGCCTAAGGAAAACGTTCTTCACCTGCAGATTAGTCTTCATCCCTTCATCCCACACAGGGGAACACTTAACTGATCAGAGCTCAGCGGCAGCAGTGTCAGTGCCATCCCACGTGCTGCAGCCAGGCATGCCTTTCTTCCTCTTGCAGCCCTTGCATGCCAATGAGAAGGAGCATGAGGAACTAAATAAAGGAAACAGCTGTACCGCTTAAACCTCACTCCCTCTTTTGAGGTACTTGTCATGCTATTTTGTTTTAGGGTTTTGGTAATATCCAGAACTGTAGCTGTAAGAAGCCATATTCCCACCTGGGGATATCTGGAGGAAAAATAATACTTCTCTTCAAGGAAGGTAGACAGAAAAAGCAAAGCTAGGATCTTGTCTATTCCAAAGGTAAATTATTCCAGGTTAGTTAAGGTAAGGTTAGGAACTACCACAACCTTAAAGTCTTGAAGAAAAAGCCTGTCATCTCTCATTGCGTACAAGTGAAAGGCAGATAGCGCAGCTGTTTGGCAGTGGAAATAGAACTTGAAGTCACTGACGAATGAAATCGTTTCTGTTTCTCCCTGCTGCCACCTTGCCTTATTTTATGATTCATGAGGAAAGCCTAAGAGGTTGCTGTTCTTTTAAAGGAGGAAAGGAATTGCTGTGCTTTGTTTTTTCTCCCTTCCTCTCTTAAAGCAATGTTTCTTGGGGGTGTTTTGTGTTTTCTTTTAAGGAGAAAATGCCTAGAATACATCAGGTATACATTTAGAGGTTTTATATTCCTTGATTGTCCATTTTAAGGTACAATAATACTCCTTAAAAGAGTGCTGCGGTGCCTGAAGCCAACAGATATGCCATCAGAACGTACCAGCTGAGAAATATAGGATCAAAACGATACCCTGAAAGAAAGCACAGTTTAGTTTCATAGTAACAGAGGGCACAGTACAAATGTACTGTGAGCTATATTCATTTTACTCTAAGAAAAGAGAACTTCAGGCTGAAGTATGTGACGTATGAACAGGATCATGAATTTATGAGGCTAGTTCTGGCTGACTTGAGATCAAGGTACATATAATAACTTAAACCAGCTGAAGATCTTGCACACAGTTAAATACCTTCCTTGAAAAGAGTTCAAAGATTAGACACATTGTTCCTCAGTAGGTGATTTTGCATCTGATTTACCCCAGTGTCTCTGGTTTCCTGGATTTAAGAGTATTTATTTCTGCCCATCTATCCTGATAGCAGTCAGGTAGTATTTCCCTGAAATTTAACACTTCCCAGGATGGACAGGGCAGCTGACACCTTTCACAGGCATATTCAGATATCGTGCAGATTCAAGGAGGCTATAATGCCGTCTGCTAATCCCAAACCCAGGAACTGCAGAACAATGAAGCTAGAAACCTGATTGTTTCTATAGAACATCCTGGAGTGGGGAAAGTGAACCTGTGCAAACAGGGCGAAGTCTCTACATTTTGGATTACTGAGGATCTTCATCATAGCTGGCAGTGATGGAAAGCCAGCTGGATACATGATCCTACAGCACTTCTTATAATGTTGGTTTTGGTCTAGTTTCTCCATTTGCCTCATTGAATTAATTGTCCCTTATGCATATTCCTGTCAGAAGGGTGTTTTTTTGTTTTGTTTTGTTTTGTTTTGTTTTGTTTTCCCAAGTAACATTTCTATTTCTAGTTCAGGTTCCTGAATATCACAATCAGAAAGAAGTTTCTCTCCTTTTCTTCTTGTCTTTGAGGATTTATGCAGTTTTTCTAACATTGTTTAGCCTTCCTTCTTTAATCAGTCTCTTAGCCCCCCTATTGTGCTTGTTCTTCTCTGAATGTCTAATAGCTTGTTAAGCCAGCTTTGAAATACCTCTGAAATAAAATGTCCATAAGGAACCAACCAAACTTTAAATTCGATTAAATAATATTTTGAAATTAACAGATATTTTTTTCTTTACCTGTTGAGGTATCTTCTGACTCATTAGGTTTACCTCCTAAATAAATACTGCTGTCAATTACTGCAAATTAGTCTTCTTTTTGGTGAAACTTAAGTCCATTCCCTATTGTAGTGCATTCTGAGAGGATGTGTGTTCTTGATCTAAACATGGTTTATCTACCTTGGCTGCCAGGGTAGCAGCACTCCCCAGACATGGATGAGACTCAGAAGTCTGGTACTGTTTAGAAGAAGCACAATTAGCATTTTGGAAAAGGTGAAAGCAATAACTGTGTGTTCCAGTGAGCAAATACCTTCTTTTGAACAAGTAGATAGTATTATTTCTGGCACTGTGCAGATTGTAAATTCTTACCTGGAGTCTAGACAAAGCATGCATGTCAAAGTGATGCTCCAGACAGCTTATGAGGGTAATAACTATTCTTTCAAATGTCATTCAATTTAGCTGCAAAAATCATTAAACATTCTCAAAATCCCAGTTACAGCCCATTTACCATTGAATTGTTGCCTACAGTTAGCAGTTAATTCAAAGATAGGCAAGATTATATCAGTATGGGGATTGAATAATCCTTTGTATCCCTCGAAAGTAGGGACATTGAAATAAATTGATTAAGAGGGTGAGATTCCACGTTGTGTATAGCCAAGGCTTATCCATTATTTGTACAGAGAACCTCAGAAATTCTCAGCTTTCAAAACTGTTTGCCATTCATCTCAAATTAAAGAGATTAAAGAGAGTTTGCCATTGCAGTATTGAAACTGCCAAGTAATAAATCATCATCTGATATTTATAGCCCAAAATTAAGACTGGTGACTCAGACACACCGCTGACCGTTTAGTAGTGAAGTCCTAATAATCCAATCTCGAGCAGTAGGGAAAGGAATAGCTTTCTGATGTGAAGTCAGACAAGTAATTTCCTATTTAAAATTTGATTAGATAAAATCTTTTGAACATGTGCTTGTAAAGGAACAGCCTGTTTAAATATGTATACTGCTGCAGCACATGCTGTACGCTGTTACGACTAAAGCCAGCACAAAGAACATTTGCAGTAACCTGAACGTGCTAGGGGAGGCACAGCGCCCAGGGCTAAACTCTATCAGGATAAATCTCCTACACAATGGAAGCATTAGAGCTGATGGGGGAAATGCAGTTTTCATCCTAAAAAAAAAAGAAAAAGAGAGAGAGATTGAAAAGGTATCATTTTCCAAAACAGAAACATTTGGTTACATATACAAATGGAAGAACATTAATTTGAGTTGTTTTTTTTTTTGTTGTTTGTTTGTTTTGTTTTGTTTTTTAAATACAAAAGAGAAAATACAGATTCAAGCTGGAATATTTTGCTACCTACAAAAAAAAAAAAATCAGAGTTTTTAAAGCCATGTAATAAGCTTGCTATTTCGATATTTCTAGGCAGAAAAAATCTTCTTGATTTAATAGCATTATATTATAGAAATCAGAAGAAGGAATAAAGGAAAAATAATAATAAAATCACACCGAGATGTGGAGTTTGCTCTAATTATGACACAGTAAACTGGGAATGTTGCCTTTGACTTAAAAGATCAAAATTTGAGCAATGACTGAAAGGTCACATCCTGCAGCCGCAGCCATGCTGTGCATCAGTGTCCCCCAGCAGCAGTGCTTGTGCCTGAGAGGCTGCCTGGAAAATTCCTGCTCAGGATGAAGGGCAACGGTGAGGCCTGGCCTGTGCCAACACACAGCAAATGGCAGAGTTAAAGAGTTTGGGTGAAGTGACACTGTCTTTTGCTCATATCCTGGTTTATGTAATTTACAGAGCTCATGGCAGCATCTCAAAATCAGCTATTGCGACTAAAGCCCACTGTCAAAACTGGGATGCTGTCCCACTTCAAGTTTAGCTACAGAATCCCCTTACAACAGTTCAGTATAATTGTAGCCAAGCTGGAACATTTTTATCACTCATCATAAAAAGGCTTTGCATAATAGTCCTGGGAATTGAAATATTCAAATCACATTCGCACATTTTGAAAATGATTATTTTTGAAAGCGACCAACCGCTCAGGTTCACTGAAAGTTAGTTTTTTCTGTTTCTTTTCATAGACTTTTTTTTTTTTTTTTTTTTCTTTTCAGTAAAACCTTAGGGCCTGTGTTGTTTTGAGCCTGTGGTGTGCAGAACGTAGTCGGTTGTATGCGGTGCTCTGGTAGGTAGCTGCTGAACTTGTGTTCCTTCCAGTGCACGTAGGTGGGGGAATCAGTCCTGTAAGTCTCTTGGCTTGCCCCCGAGGGCCAGTTTTTTGCTCCGCTCCTCCTCCCATCAGCCGGGGGCACACGGTGTTCCTGTTCAGCTCTCCTAAGGCTGTCCGTTTGTCCAGGCTGCAAGCAAGGCTGCTGCTGCCTACCCCAGCTGTCCCCAGTGGCACCAGGACAGAGCCACCACTGTCCTTGTGGTGGTGAGCACAGGTCTGCCTCCACGGCCCTCTGGGTGTTATCTGAGGTATGAAATTGGGCTGGGCTCTGCCTGGGTCTGTTTTTCCACAGTCTGTTTTTGTTGGGCATCAACAAGGGCTTGTGGGTGTAGCAATGCCTTCGAACCACTTTCAGCTTGAATGTGGAAGCCTCTCCAGGCAGCTGCAGAGCAGCTCCGCTGATGGGCACCACCACAGGCATGACATTACTCCCGGCAGCGCTGGGTGTGCACAGTGTTGCCTGGTCAGGAAAGCAGCAGTTTTGCTGAAATCCCACCTGTCCAAGGCCAGCCACTGCACCCACGTGTCCTCGGGGACCTCTCTCTTTCCTTCTCTTGCTCCAACATGCAGACACTTGTGCCCCTGGGAACACTCCCTGGTGTGTGGTGTCCCCTGGGGCCTCCTGCTCCAGTGAGATGGGGAATGTGGAGGTTTCCTGGAAAAGCCTGCTTCCTGCTGGCTTCTTTTGTGCTTGGAGGGGGCTCCTGCACTTGTGAGCAGCATGTCAGATCCCGCTGAAGGCAGGGACTGAGGGTGAGCAGCTCTTGTCCCCAGTGACTGCTGGATGTGCAGTGCTAACCGGCTGAGCAGGAAGCTGCTGTCTCCAGAGTGTTAGAACGCTTTGACTCACTTGACGTAAACGCCGCATGGATATCGTGAACTGGAAAGAGCTTAATCAAAAAAAGCGCTTTAATCATATTCCAAGGTCCTGTGACATCTCAACAGATCTTGACAGCTTGTCAGTAAATGAAACAGGTGCGTGACACTAATGGGGACACAACAGCGGTTCGGTATCATACCCAAATGCATCGCCAGGGAATGCCCGGTGGGAGTCTCCCCATTAATCCCCAAAAAACGAGACATCAGTGTCCAGCCATGAGAGTAAAAAATCACAGTTCTTTTGATTTAATGCAGAAGCCTAAGTACTGTCAGCTGAACTTCCTACTTGAAAATCAGTGTGCGTACTCTTTGTCAAGAAAATTTGCATAATCTGCGTCACAACAAAAATTGGAAGTGTATTGTATCAAAGTAGAATTGAAATGAAATTTTTAAACTGCATATAAATAACAAACGTTTTTGCGAACTGTATGAAAATATATTGCAAACTATGAAGAAGCCTGCTCTTTAAAGAAACAAATACGCAACCGTGGAAAATATTATTATATCTGTATAAATGCACTAAAAAACCATCAATCTACACAAAATACCAAAAGAAGGTCTTGTAAGAAATAAGAAAATTATAAATTCCTGGAGGACAATTTTCTTCCACAGGTTATGCAAACATTGTGTATGCTTCAAGTAAAGTTGCATTTTATTAAAAATGTAACTCATGATAAAATAGAGGTAACATTTGAATAGTAATTTAGAATCTATATTATTCTCACCTGATAAAAGGATATTGAAAAAATGAATTGAACTAACACAAGTGTATCCAATATGCATGAAATTTCTATTTAGTCTATAAAATGCAGAGCAGAGAGATAGTAGCCATTTCCCAGTACTATAATTACTCTGTCACCATTTGTAAAGCATTTATGTAAAGTATAATACTTGTGACTAGCCATGTGCAAACTCCCTGCATCTTTTTAAAAATCAAACCATTGATTTCAAATCCTTTACATTGTGCTGATATTGATGAGGGCAATGTAATCCATCACTACTTCTATTTTATGTAATCAGTCTCTTACTTCTATATGTATTCTTTTTAAGCAGACTTACCTATTCTACACACTACTTTAATACTGTAATTTTTAAAGAGCAGCAGACTATTAAAAAACAGAATCCTGGTTTATATTTTACTGATGCTACAAAGAAGGCTTGAACATTGGAACAGG